TGTTAAAAAATAGAATAAAAAGGTAAATATGTCAATCAAAACACCTATAAACCTATTATAAATCCAAATGAATACTATTTTAATGAGTAGGTATATACACTTCATGTATATTATTATTCAAAAAGAAAACCGTGTGGTTCGATTATCCGATAAGCTATAAATTATAAAGCAAAAAAGAAATTTACGACGACAGGATAATAATAATAAAACTATTATAATGATTACACCTGCTATATGGTAACTGCTTTACGGAAATTTGTTGTAAAAATGTGATTTTTCAGTTAAAGTTGTAAATCCTAATTGGGCTCAAATGTTTAACAAAGCAAATAAAACTAAACGAACGGTCGACTAAGTATCGATTAACAATACTGCAGCTGGACTATGTAGGTATATAAACAAACTTAATGGCATACAAAATCGGTTGAAAAATAGGTGAAGTTTTAAACCGGTATACTTTTCCTTGTACATATACATAATAATAATAATAATACCTACACAAAAACCACAAATTCCTCGGTAATTACACTGCAATAACAATAATAATATACTTCGTGGGAGCTCTGCATAAACTCAATTGCAACGCCCGACTTTATTATAAATTCGTCGTCGAACAAAAGGCATATTAGAGTATTACACAACTTAATATTGCTATTATCATCATGTTTTGGAAAATAAAATACGGAATCCGACGAAAAGTAAAAGTTGTCGGAAAATAAAAAAAAAACAAATAAAACAAGAACTAGTGTTAAACTTTAGTCAAACGAAAATCGATTTTCGTCGAATTTCACCGAAACACGAATATAATAATACACGAACAAGATGCGCAACGATTCCAAAAAATGGAAGAAAACAAAACGCGCGCGTGTTATTAACGAATTTTCAGAAAATCTCGTCCGACGTACGTGATGAACGTCTAATGCAATAACGGTATGATAATAATATATATTGTATTAAACGTATTATGCGTAACAAACATAAATGTATATAGTATACACATATACGTAAGAAGGAACTGGTGTGATAATTTTTTATTATTTTTTTTTTTTATAACATTTCGTGGATTATCGATCGAATCGGATGATATCTTTCCACGCTTTTAATGTCATCGCAAACAAAACATTATATTATCCGTCCGGAACAAAACAGCCGTGACCTACGTGATTCGTACACACTTTTTTCGTACACCGAATTTCATTTGTCCAGTCGTCGAAGAGTGATTGGAATTTTGAAAACCACGCGCGTTATTAAGTAGGACGGGTTGAAAAAAATAGTTTAATAATAACAGAGCAGAGCGAGAGAGAAAACAATAAGTAATAAATAAAAACACGAATTACTATACGCGCGCGACAACGGCTGGTTCGGAAAAATATTGTGGAATCAGATTTGACCAAAATATATATATACCTATGTATATACGAAGAGAAACACATTTACTACTTATACGTGTAGCTGTAGCGATGCGATCGTGAATTACATCTCCGACAGAAAATTGTCTCTTTTTTTCCAATTTTTTTTCCACCGCTTTAACAATACGTTATACGCAACGTTCGGACTTGGTCATCATACGCACATTGCTGTTTTCACGCGTATCCACTCACATAATATTATGCACACACACACACACACACATTTCACTATTAAAATATATATTATAATAATAACGATAAAACTTTTGGTCCGGGACTCCGGGACCGGACAGCCGGTCACGTATCACCTCCGGTTCTAGGTCGGTCCTAATAATACTATATAAAACCCGCCTACCCGAGCTCTATATCGTGTTCAACAGCACCCGCGCCGATCGTCCGGCGATGAAGAAAAAGAGAGAGGAACCGTGTCACACGGGACACAAAATAAAAATAATAATAATAATAACACAAAAAACTGACTGCACTCGCACATACGTACACACGAGCGTTCGCAAACGCACGAGTTGTGTGACCTCGATCTGGATTTATACACTCCGAGTACAGATCGCAACCGTATGGATTGCGGTGAAATTCGATAGGTATACCTAATAATAAAAAATAAAAAATACGTACGCATTATGATTTTTTTTTTTTTAAAAACGCCAACACTCACGAGGGTCAATAAGCCATGGCCTCGGTCGATCGTTGTATTATAGGCATAGTTATACCTACAGCGCAGCAGCAATGTACGACTTCACGACCGCCAAAGTGGAAAATCAACACAATTCAATGTACAAGACACGTGAACGACAAAGACAATGCGACTGTATATCGCAACACGGCAGCGTTTCGTAGCACACGTGATATGTGTATATATAATATATTGCTGCTACAACAATAACTTATGAACTTACTTACAGGCGGGTAAATAACGTATAACATACGTTATTTTATATTGCCGACGCGGTCCGATAAAAAAGTTATATTTATATATAATACGAAATACGTATTATAAGCGATGTAATAGGAAAGTATCATAAGCACGCATGTCGAAACCATTAACGGCCGTTGTTTTAATATAAGTCGCAGGGACACTGTTACAAAACCGTACTCGGCACGTAAAAGGTTTTATGGATATACGACGACCCTATTTGTCACAAAACGTATAAATTATTATATTCGTCGCGTACCATTTGCCACATATGTCGGCCGACGTCTTTGTTTCTGGCGGAGATACGCTCGCGTTTATGTGTGCACAGGAAACCATATAACACTACACGAGAACGTGTAATTTTCTAATTTTAGAAAATACTAACAACAGCAATGGTTAGGGTGCGAGGACCGATTTCACGACTATTTTGGACTTCTCGTACCGAACACAATGGTAATAATTGTTAGTGGTGTTACACGGCGTATTTAAACCAAAATAAAAATGACCAAAAATATCAATTATAATACCGCACAAGCATGTACCGTTTTACCATCGTCTAACTGTTCACATTATTCACTGTAAGGTCAAAAGAGTTTCTATACATATTATTATGTTATAACCTCTTATATTACTCTCTGCGTGCTCACACATATGCAGAGTAAGTGCGTCTACGGTACAATACATAAGTGGGTAATATTGACACACTATTTCAAAAGATGAACATTGCGTCGCCGCGTTCTCACAGTACACTACATGAATTAAGTAATGTACAGAGTATACAGGTTGGTAGTTCATTATGCGCTTATCGCTATACTCAAAAAGGTCCTTTCCATAGTAACATATAATGTTCTACGTAAAACAACAATATTGTTTTTACGTCCTATGGGAGGACAAAAAGCATGTCACTGCGCACATTGTTACAACGCATTAGCGTGAACTTTAATTCGAACCCTTTCGCGCCGAAATGTCAAGTGTATAAAAAAAATGTTCATCTTTTTCAGACCATGAAAACCACCGAATATTTTTTATTCCATCATATTTTTCGAAATAAATCCATGTACTATATACAGTCCAGCGCGAGCGAAACATTATAATATGCAGTCCACTGTGAACACGAAAACCGCAATCGGTATTATTTAACTTAACGTTTAATAATTGTAACTCTTGTAGATACGTTTTGCATATACATCTCAGACGTATAAATGTTATTAGAAAGTATCTGAACAATCCCGACCCGCTCGGTTAAGCCTATAATTGTGTTTACATGTACTTCTTAAACGCAATGATGTACAATGAACTAAAAACACGAATACCTTAATGTGTTGTCATCGAAAAACGGGAAAACCTCGGTCCCTAGTGTCAGCCGTGGTAGCAGCGGTTTTCATAAGAAATTTACACATATTATGTACTTACGGTAGAGAAAATAAATATGGTTTTTCAAAAATGTAACCCTGGAGAATATAAAATAAACTGAATTAAAAATACATCCCCAAGGCTCGTAGAACTGAGGTAAAATTTAATTTTTATAATTCTACGAAATTTTATTTTCAAAGAGTCCTGCAGTGAACATCAATACCAGTAGCGTATATAGAGAGAGGGCCTAGTGGGCTACAACCCCCCCCCCCCCTGAAATGTTTTAAAAAACTTAAAAATTATTTTAAATGTTTGTTATATTTTAATGGTGCTTTATGCTTATTTAAAATTTGTGTCCAACGTCAAATCGTTTTGGGAAATTCTGTAAATGAAATTTAGATAAGTATCTACTGTGTTTTGTTAGTAATTCTTAGATAGCAGTGGTAATTTAACTCTGTCTATAGTAACCCCTCCCGAAAATATTTTTTGTATACGCCACTGATCAATACCCAATAATACTTATTATTAATACAGATATTGTGTACAAGCTATGTACAAACAATAAAAACCATAAATGTGTCCTAATCAAAATCTCGTGTACATAATATGACTACAAAGCACTTCGTCGCTTAAACGCTAGTCGCTAAATAAGATAAACCGTTCACAAAACGAAATGATTTTCCAATTGAGATTTTGGTAAATCGCGACTCAAGGTTTCCGTAACTTTCCGCGGACAAACATAACAGGGAATTTGCAGCCAGTTATCTTCTAGGATGTTAATCTACCTGCGAGCAGCGGTGCTAACAAGTTATAAAAAGTGCACTCCCGTAAGTCATATTAACTTTTTTACATAAAAATAAGTTTTTTCAGAACAAAACGAAAAACTTCTGTTTTTACAACCATCGCTGCTTCAGAAGTTGTCGACCAAAGTCTACCTATAAATCGACTATAAAATAATATGTATTACCGTTGTTAATCGTACTACCCGATGTGAGCACCTACGCACAAAACGTGATTTTTATCATTGGTGTTTATTTCAGCGGAACAGAAGGGATATTAACCCCCCTCCCCCCGGAAAATTTGTTTATTTATTAATTATTTACTCGTATGGCATCCCGCAAACCACACTCGAAAATGTAATTCGGGTTAGAAGGTCCGAAATAAATACTGTTCGTCATTACACATATTATAATGACGAAAAGCGACTTGGGTAATCAAAAACAAAATAAAAAAACGTGGTTATATTGTGGTTATATGCTATAACGTGGTATATTGTTATTATAATTAATTATTGTTAAAATTGAACTCACCAGTGTCTCTCAGGTTTCCGGTAAATATATTAATCCACATTTGAACGTTCGACGGTAACACGCAAGTTATTAACACTGTCCAGTTAAGTACGGATATTGTATTGTACTCGCGTCGAACCAGATTCTATAAATATCAACAACGACGATCACGGTGACGGTAGTAGACGGTAATAGGCGATGAAATCATCAAAGGAAAACGATTAAATCAACAGTAAACGTAATTTTCGGATGAGAAAAGTCGTGTCGATCACAGTCACAAAAACCGTTCGTTCGCGTTAATCGCGAGTTGGCCGCGTAAAACCGACAGTGTCGAAAACGAAAACAACGCTACAGTCTCCCGGGCACATCGATGGCGTCAACAACACGAACAGGACACGAGAGAACGGCGAACTGACACTGGATGGTACCGCGAGCGGTGGACTTGGCGGGCGCGGTCTAGATCGTCGACGGGCGACGGTGGTGGTGGCGACGGCCACCACGACGGCGACGACCGTTTTCGTCGGGGGATCACGAGGCGGCGGCGGCGGCGGCGGCAAATTCGGCGTTTTTATTATTAGCGGTATTATTTTCCGCTACTTTCTTAGTGTTATGTTACGAATGTATGTACTGCGGGCGCGCGTTCCACCTATTTGCTTGTTGAACCAAAACAACCAATACGCGTTATGATTTGTATTCTCTGTGTGTTACACCGAATTATAACCGTCTTTATTCCACCGATGACGACGTAGAAGGAAAACAGTTTCTCCCCCTCCCCTGCGTGATAAAAACGAACCTCGAGTACGTGTACTGTTCGTGCGACGATCATACACTGTCGGAAAGATATTTATTATTTTTTATTTTCTTCAAAATATATTCTTATTCGTGTGTCCGTTTGTACACAATAACTCAAGCACAAGTGTTGGACAACGCTCTGCTCTGCGATTGTGAATTGAGCGGTTTACAAAATGTAATCGAGATTTCCGCTATTTTTCATTGTGTATTGCTATCAAATCTTTAAATTCTAGTAACACGCGATCACTGTGAATGTAAAAGAAACGGTGTGGACAGAAAAATCTCTTAACACATATTATAGTATATATAAAGCCGTTATATATAACCGTGGACTGTAAAATATATATTAATGTAATAAATGTACAAATGTATCCAATGTTTGGATTGGGGTATGAGAATTGGGGACTGAGAAGTCGAAAAAATTTGTTCTCCAAAATTTTAGTGTACCCCCTACTAATAGGTCTCATGTTTTGTTTTGGGTCGAAAAAAATCCCGGTACGCATTTTTTTTAAGTTATAGCGTCCTCCTATTTCTACTTAAGTATCTACACGCTTTATAAACTAATAATTCAAGTACAAGCAATTTACTACAGAATATAGTGAATTTTTTTCTGATATACGACCCATAGTCCATATCAACCAGTTTTTTATTTTATCCGTGATAAGTTGAACCTTTAATGTCGTTATCGTCACACGAACATATTTATATGCATAGACAATTGAGCACTCAAGTGGATGTGATTTCGTCGTGAAACGACTGGTCATATTATAACATGTTCCGCAGCATATAATGACGATAGCTCCGAGTAAAAGCACAAAGATTCTTTTAATTATATTTTTTAATTCTTTTCACCTTTAACGTCATGAGCGTGTGTATATATATATATTATTATTATTTTATCGCATAAAAAATTAATAATATTTTTTTAAACGTTAAATAGTATATATGTATATATAAAAAAATATACATATAGGTAAATGTTTACGGTACATATATAATTTGTACTGTCTAACAATATGCATACATAGAAAATCAACTGTGAACTAAACTCAAGTTAGTCAAAACTAACCTCGATAAAAGATTAAAAAGTAAAATCGTAGATTATTTTGGAGTGCACGTTCAAAAATCAGATGTGAACACAAAAGAATCCAATTTACAATAGAATATCTCAGGAGAGAAGGACACGGCACATAGAAGTATATTTTTGTACTATTTTTACAATAATTTAAATTTATTCTTGACACAAATCACGGTTTCCGTAATCACAACACGGTATTAATAAGTCAAGTAAAATTAACTTATCACAAATATATAATATGTAGAAAAAAACCTAAATTTGTTATTACATGCATTATATACAGGGAAGTGTTATTTTTCTATTAAATACTTTCAGTGCAATGTATCCTTAGATCTTCAGCCAAAGACGGCGCAAGGGGGTGGGCAATAGGGGTAGTTTCCCAAGGCACCACGCCTTAAGTTATAATTAAGGCCCCGCGGTTCTGATTTAACTGAACTTAAAATATTTTATTAATATAAATTATAAGACCCAACATTTATTTTGCCCAGGGCCTTGCAAACTCTAGCACCATCACTGTCTTCAGCATATGTACACGATGATCAACAACAATAAGGTTAACTAGTGAACTTCATCGCCACGCATAACAACGGGAAAGGCGACATTATAATATGAATACGCCAGCGCAATATGCATAATTATGTAATTAATAAAAATTAAATTCGGTCGCATGAGAGTAAAAAGTAATAGTAAGCTTCAACTTCAAGGTTCAATAGCTTCAATCTATATTGTAATTATATTTATAATTTATTCTAATATATTACTCATACCATCATCTTAAATTTGATTTACGTAGTTACAAAATTATACAATAAGTGCGCCTACATAAAAAAAGAATTTAAGCCAGTCAAGTAATTACGATATTTTTGATATATCAAAATTTTAACTGTTAAAAATAATATAATAATTATTAATATATTTTTAATAACTATAATTATTTGGTAAAATAATAAGCTATTTGATTCAGACTAATGGACATTACGTGATTAAACAAAATAGAAACTTAGTATTTGCACTATACATTGCACGTGTTTATATAAAATATTATTGTAGGTACATAGAAAATACAATATTTTTATTATGTATATTGACAAGGGTGAAGGTAAAGATAATTTATAGAGGGAGGAGTTTGATATATTTAGGTTATAATTATTTTTATTATTACTATAATATTACTATTACTAGCTACGATTTTGGCAATGGGGGTTGAACCCTTCTTATCTATGCCACTGTATATCGAGTAAGAAATATGGAAGAAATAAACTATAATTATACACCGGAGACCAGAGTGGTTATATTTTATTAACAATTCAAATCGAAGCGTAATCGATGTATCAAGACCGTAACTCTTTTTCTTAAAATACGATTAAATAATTTTAAATGTCTATTACATTTGAAATTTTAAAATTTGCCAATCGAAAAACATATTTATTCTGCAAACTTACCACTCCCTCTCAAAATAATTATCTGCCTACGACCTTGTTTGTTATTTGAATTTCATTACCTATTTCTAATACACGATATTATACCTATTAATGTATTATAAAGCTCCGTGAATTTTCCAGAATAACGGAACGAAACATAATACATTTACTTTATCTGACAATGCACAAATAATCCATAAAATATTTTTGTACCCTGCAGACGTGACTACGTAATGTACAACCATTGATTATAGAATAAACATAAACAATATTATTCTATAATCAGTGGTATAACTTTACTCGAAATGAGCGGCATAATAAATAATCATTTCGAAACATTTTTGTTTTTCAGCTAACGTTTTGTCACTAACTCTTTAATTTATTACTACGCCGTAGGTACAGTTAAAAATGTCAAAAACCTATTGATTGTGGTACACTGGAGTTGAGTGCACTGTGTGAAACCGAATATTTGTCCTTCGTCGATTCACTTCAAGGACAAGACACGGATCGGATGTGCACCAAAACTTTCGTAGACTTTAGGTTACCAATATTTTAGCACACTGCTACACCATTATAAGCATTTAATAATATGCTGACAATGATATTCTCAACGGTTGTTTTCATGAACGCTAGCGGCGTTGGTGTTTAAACTTCAAACGATAATTAGGTACCGACCGTAAGAGGGAACATTTAACGTCTACAACTACTTACCGAATACAAGGATTTGCAGAAATGCAATTAAACGCTTAATGTGTCGTTTGGATTTTGGAGATTACGTTTCATTGACAACTGGCGTTATTTCACTTTTTTCTAGAATAGAGCAGCCGACACGCTCTTATTAAATTGCCAACTCAGCGGCTCATTTTGCCAGAGTGCCAATTAATGGTGGAGGGGGCGTAAAACCAGTCTAAAAATGTAATGATTTGTACTTTATAGTATTTGTATAGTACACGTCTCATTTCTATGATTTACAACATGTCAATGGCTTTAAAAGACGCATTTATATTTTGATGAATATGTGCCGACTTTAGAATAGCTAAGCTCTAAACGGTGGCAAGTACAAAAGTCCCCCCCCCCAAATGACCACACTGATCCATAATACTCAAGGATCATCAAGCATCATTACAGTTTTCGAAGAACCCCTCGTCAAATATTTCTAATAATCCTCCCCCTTCCCATTCGAAGATATCGATTTTTCTAACGGATTTTCGTCTTGCGCTCAATATTTGTGTAATTTCCGTTCCGTCACGATTTGGCTCCAACTACAGACCATTATCGTTGCAACGGATACTGAACACTGGATAGCACACGGACAATAGAACAGTTACGGACGAGATTACGTATCATTCGAAGCATAATTATCATAGAGCATGGAGAAAATGATTGCACTACCTCCTATGACCTTTATTTTAACGAAACACCGGCATTTTAATACGCTTTAAAAGTAAAACTAACGTTACGTTCAAAATTATATAATTACAATCGATTTTCAACCGGCTCGGAAGTTTTATTTTAATTCCAGAGGATGTACTTACTGCGTTATTAGCGATATACCTAATCAATAGTAGTCGGATTTCTTATGAGTAGAACTGACTACACCAGCGGTTTCATTTGTTTCCTGTTCTGGTAACTTTCTTTCGACGTTTTTATTAATTGATGACTGGTATTTGTTTCGACCACAATATGAACAGGTTAAGTAAGTAATTACATAAGTTGTGAATCTCCGATGTATGAGAATGGTACGGGTAATAATAAATACTTACGAAGCACAAACCTGGATCCAGGGGGGGGGGGTAAAAATATTCCACTTGTACATCATCTTCGATATAATTATTTTACATTTAAGTTTTCTGTACAGTATAATTTTACTTTAATTAATTATTAATATTAAATAATTAATTAATATTTACACAATATTACCTTTACGACTATTTCTATTTAAAAATAATGTAATTTGTATAAATTATATAGTAAATTTAGTATCAAGACATACACTAAAACACATTAGTTAAGTATTATAAACGTAACTTTCGAGATATTTTAGAAAATTCATCAAGAGCTTTCCTCTTTTAATAAATACGCTTCTGACTGACTGACGCATACTTACATATAAAACATACCTAAATGTTTCATTCAAAATGTATTAAATTGAAATTAATAATTTTTTATACTTAAATCTTATTTGTTTGGTTATTATTACAATTATTCTTGTAAATTAAATTACGCTAATATGGAATTTTTGGGGTTATATGGTCTTTTTTTATGGAATTTAATTAAAACTAAGGCCTCATTATGTATAAAAATAAAAATTAATTAAATTAAAAAGGATATTTTATATTTATGAATTATACTTTCATTCATTTTGCTATTTTTTTAAAAAAAAAAATAATAATAATATATAATATATATTTTTTACTCCTCAAATATTAAGCAAATAAACTGTTTACTGGTTATTAATTACATTCAATGATTACAAGTTAAGACGTTAAGTGTTTTAGGTACTGTACGTTTGTACTGCAGTAATAATACGAAGACATCGCTCGTTTTAATATTGTTTACCTTTTCTTTAATAGGTATTTTTTTTCTTTTTTAATTTACAAAACATTTATAAAATAATTGTGAAACATTATTAAAATAAAAGGCAAAGGTAAAAAGAAACAAAAGACAAGACAAGTTACGTAAATTAAATTCCACCTAATTACTAAGTGATTTTAAAATAAAACGTAAATTACTCATACAGTTGTTTTGTGTATTTATATAGTTTTTTTTTTTTTTTTTAATTTTGTATTGAACACAAAAAAATATTTCCACTTTGAAATTTAATGCAAGATAACAGTTATTTTAAAAAACTCAACTTATACAATTTTTTTTATAAAGTTCTCGAATAACTTTAACTCACAGTTAGTCATTTATTATTTCAATGGTAATATAAAAATCTCTAAAATAATTTGTCATAAATTATGATTTGAATTTGTAGTTTAAACTGCAGAGGGACATGAAATCCATGATAATAATTCATAAATGGATACAATAAACATATACATAATTCTTAATTAAATTGGATTTATAAATTTTTATTATTTTTTGTATAAACACAATTAAATTAATTTAGATTCTATACAATGTAAATAATATATTAATATTAAGATTCTGATTTTTATTGTTATATTGATGTTTTGTTTTATTTTTATACAAATATTATACAATGCTGATCAATACATTTTAAACTTTTGACAGTTAAATTTCAGTGTATACTTGAGAAACTAGCCTCTGAACACATATTAATATACAGTTGTTTCAATCAAATATTTTAAACATACTCTAGATAATTAAAATTAACTTAAATTTGAAAATATTAACCCCCTGACATTTCCAAGGATTTCTGATTATGAGTAGTAGACAAGGTGCTGAGAGTAGATTCCTGATCTCATAATTTACATTCTGACATTATTTTACTAGAATAAAATCAAATGAAAATACTATCCTACAATATACCACAAAAATCATAACATTCAAAACACAAGACTATAATCAATTTTCATAAAAAAAATTTTAATCTAGCTATGAAAAACAGAGAAAATAATTTATTATTTAAACAATGGAAAATTTATAATTAATACTTAAACATTTAATCTTCAGTTATAGCAACGACAACAGGCGCTTCATCATCATCTTCTTCATCCAATCCAGTAAATTCCCAACCAAACTTTTGATGTAAGAATCTCTTTATTTGAATTGTCCCATCCTTGAGATCATCCTCCAATAAAAAATCACTGAAATTTAATGTTCTAAACAATTCTTTTAGACCATTATAGATAACATTATTGTTCTCAACAATGTCAACCAAAAAGTCTTCAGGTATTGTTTCTAGTTGATAACGTACTGCTAAAAAAAATTTTGCAAACAAAGCTTGATCTTGAGCTATTGCATCTTTACTCATGCAAAACAACTGAAATAATTTCTTCCATCGTTCAAAAGATTCATAACTTAGACCAAGAAGAAAACAGACATAAGAAAATTGGAGTTCAGCTAGTAAATCTATTTTACTAGAAAAAAAAAACCTTAACAATTAATATTTATTATATACATATAAAAATAATAATAATAATAATTACCTATCATGATTTTCAGCCATTTTATTGAGTATGTATGTAGTATCAAGTGAATGTTTAGTGATATCAGAAAGTGAAGAGCCTGGCGGATAATGACATTCTGGAGGTTCGGTATATCTAAGTAAATAAAAATAAATACATTTATACATTTTGTGATAAAATAATGAGTCTTCTTTTTCTTCTCCTTTGCCTTTTTTCTATCTATTTGGGGTCAACCATCTTTGCCCTAACCACCACTTGTCTCGACTCTTTACATCCACTAGGCACATACCAACAGCCCTCATATCATTCTCAATCGTTCCCAACCATCTCTTTTTTGGTATTCCACTTTTCCCTTCAACATTCATTTTCATAACCACTCTTACTGTTTTTGTTTCCTCTTACTTCATCATGCCCAAACCAACCAAGTCTATTTTCTCTTATTTTGTCCTCTATCGATGCAACACCAATACTACCTCTTACATATTCATCCCTTATTCTATAATCTCTTGTCACTTCACTCATCCATCTAAGCATTCTCATTTCTGCAACATTCATACTCTGTTTTATATTACTGTCAATCTGCCAACATTCTGAATTATAAAGCATTGTTGGTCTCACTACACTTTTGTACAATTTACCTTTCATTCTTTTTGGAATTCCCTAATCGCATAAAAAGATAGACGCTACTCTTCATTTCATCCAACCCTACAAAATCCAATGTTTTACATCCATGCCAAAACCCTAGTCCTTTTGTACAAATTATCCTTAATATTTAAAGTTCTTTACTTCACCTATCATATCACCGCTTATTGTCATTGGTCTTCCCATAGCCTTAACTCATTGGTATCTTCCTCCAAAGCCATAAAATAAAATAATGAGTAACTGAAAATATATTTTTTTACCTTATTTTACTTTCTTCTTTTGGAACCAAATTTGGCAAGCGCTCATACCCAACATCAGTTTCACTTCTAATTGGACCCCATTTTCTTCTTTTTTTTGTGTTTTCGTTTATCGATGTTGGGAATAACTCCATTGCTGAACGGATCAGTTTCGTTTCAGGGCATAACTTCTTTATTAAACTGTCTAAAATAAAGGATAGAGTACCATTAGTAATGAATGATAATTAATCATAATACTGAGTTACATACCAGTGAGTAGTGAAGACAAACCATTCCACTTTGCTTGTTCCTCATATGGATATGGTCCCAGAGTGTCATCATAATACAGAATATTGGTTTTATATTTAATCAGTTCTAATCTGGGTACATCCATTAGTTCTTCACTGTCCTTATGCCATTTCTTCACAAAGCACTCGCCTTTTTTAAAACTGTGAAAAAAACCACACCGTGGCGCTGTGTTTCCATATTTATCGGTAGCACTGAAGAGATGAAAATTAGATTAGCAATCATTTGGCGAGTAGCAAAAAAAAAAAAAAAGAATCACCTATAGTAAACAAAGTGTATACCCGGTGGTATCATTTTAATTCCTTTGAACTTTTCGCCAGTTGCCCAGGACATCATGTCGATGCCGAATTCCATGCCCGGCGGTACATCAAGGAAAAACGCCGTCGCGCCGTTCATGTACAATTTCATGGCCCTCTCTTGGTCCATGGCAAAATTTCGTCACGCTCGTTCAATCGTTTATTACTTCACCGAACAATCAATACGGACCATTTCAGACGACCATGAGTTCGTTTTTTCAGTTCTTTTGCTCACCAAAAATTCAATTCAGATGTCAGGACTTAGTATTTTGACAACATAGTTTCTCATCAATGATTTCTACACTTATCAAACAGAGTAATATTTATTAGGGCGCTATAGAACCTTTTATAGTGCCTTAATATTTACTAATATATAACTCAATATCTAGAACATCAACAATGTTATCATCGCAGATAATAGTATCATATCATTTGATGTGCGCTATCACAAACGGGAACGAGATAAATATAATACATTTATATATACATATATATATATTGTGTACAAACCAAACTAAGTATTTCTGCGACAAATACAAATTTACAGTGATAACAATACCTCTCTGTTCCTTACTGGTCGAAAACCCGAACAGTGGAAGCCGGACAATAGTTTTATGATTAAAAAAAAAATTGAAACACTTGTGAAAAATGGAAAGGATTCCGGAGCAAATGGGCTATTTGATACTGACAATGGACGGAGCTGTGATTTCGGTGAGTAAAATGAAACAAAAAACACAATTGTTCATTTTTTGGGAGTCCATAGTTGATTGAACGATGGTGATGCTATTGTCATGCTAGTGAAATACCATTAACTTTTTCAGTCCGGTGGTGATTTGGAGAACAATGAAAGAATTGCCGACATCATAGCCAAGACGATTAGTACCAGTAAAAGCTTATACGTACCGGATGAACAGTTTCAGAATATGTCAAGTATGCGAGATAAAATTTTAAATTATATTTAATGTTTTCACAATGATTAAGCAATATCAACTGTTTTATGTACAATTTTGTGTTATACTTATAGTTCTGTATCAATATTACCATTATTCTATTTGTGTGTCCAACAAAAAAATTCATGTATCCAAGATTAAACATGACCCCAATGCTTTGGAAAATGAAGAAGTCCGAGTGATCTCTGAAAGTGCTTGATTGAAAAACTGTTTTTTATAATACTGTTGAATTGTATAATTAAGATATATCAATGCAAATTGTTATACCATTTGATAAACGATTCAATATCGTTTAAAATAATTCAATATCAATTTGATATACAATTAAGAATTAATGTATTTTATAATAATTATACATTTTTTAGTATAATTTAAAATTAAATAAATTTTTAATACTGTTGAAACTACTATTGATTATTTTAGGAGAAAGCAATAATTATTATCTCACTTTAAATTCCAGCTGGACTTAGTAATATGATTATTTATTTCTATTGCTCATTTATACATTCAATTCTTATAGATGAATATGAAAGTATGGAATAAAAGAAAATCTTAATTTCTAGTAAAATCAAATCGATGGTGTAATTTAAATTTTTATCTGATGATATAGAATAAGGTTAAAATTATATATAATTATATTTTATATTATAACATTATATACATTCATTGATTATATTTAGTATATATAATCAATAATACATCTAAATTTTTTCTTTTGTCCCTTTTTTCTATCTCTCTGTCCACAAATCATTTTAGACGTCATTATATTTTATAAATAGTTTTTTGTTCAATTCTAAGCTAATATTAGTATATATTAAATAAATATCAGATACATTATACTTATGAAGAATTATATTAAGGAATAAAATAATACATAAATTCGTATTGAAACTAATTATTGTTATCATAAAATAAGATTTATGAATTTGTAAAATCTAGAGTTCTTATTAGACATGTTTTATCAAAAATATGTATATCTGTTTTAAAAAATGATAAATTTTGTAAATTTATTTTTAAGTACTTGAAGTTTTAATAAAATATTAATTGTACATAATTAAGGTAAGGTAATATGTTTTTATTCCGTAAAATATGTAATAATTTTGTTAAAGAACTTAATATAGGTATTATTTATTATGCTTTTTGATTTAGCTTTTTTTCAGGGGGGGGGGGCAGTAAATATTAATAAAATCTAATAATTTAATCTCTAGAGTAAGGCGGTTATTATTTTTAATTATGGCATTTTATAAGTATTAAATGTAATAATTTTTAATAAATATGAATACTTTTAATCTTATTATAATAAATAATATTCAAAATAAATAATGATACAAAACTATACAAAAGTATAGGATGTAAAAAATATTTTTTTTAAATCAAAAGGTTTAGTCAAAATAGTTGAGTCACAAAAGTTCATTTAATACAAGAACTAAAAAAAATATAAATAACAAAAATTAAATGTATAATTACACACAATTTTAAACTCATCTTGATGATAAATAATCATATATTGATTTCTTAGACTATGTACACAGAATAAACAAATCATCATTCATACAGAACATCTTAAGAACAAAATATAACTATTGCACACCAAGGAAATAGGTGAAACAACAAATTCTTCATAAATATGTACAATACTAGTTTTTTTTGAAAAAGGATGATATACTTTTTGTTCCTGATGCAGCTTTCTTTAATGCCTTGTCTTTAGCTGTTAATTTTGGTGCAACAATCTAATTGAAAAAAACAAAAACAGGAATCATAATACGATTTAAAAAATATGTACTAAAAATTTACCTTTTCAACTTTATTAGGCATTTCATCATAGTTAATACTATTATGTTTCACCTTTTTATTTACATCTAAACTGTTTCCATCAGCTTTGCGTTTATTACATTCTACTTTTTCTGGTAGTCCAAGATGTATTAGTAATGATTTTTGAATTTCAAAGGGTAAATACTCTGAAATTATACTACATGCGTATCTTTTGTACTGTTCTACAATAAAAATTAAATGGTGTTAAGTTTTTATTTTATATAACTTATGATTAATTTAAATTCAGGTAATTCAAACAAAAATATAACTTTTTTTTTTTAATCTGTCCAATAAACATTTTGATTCATTAAAAATTTAAATATCTCTTTCAATAGTTATCAATTAGGAATTCAATATTGGTTGAACAAATTCAATGTTGAACAAAGTCTTCATAAATTAAAATATTTTCAATTAATTAATTCATTAGTAATTCTAATACTTTAATGGTCTAAATCTATTAAAAGCTATTTATTTACCTTCAGATGATTGTGCACTAGAAGCACTTAGTTTAAAAGTAGATGAAATCGCTGCATTTGGATTAACATTTATTTGCTGAGAAACTAAAACTTGTAAGACTTTTTCTACTTTAGGAGAAAGCCATTCCAAAGTTTTACTTTCATTATATTGCCACAAAATTAAATCTCCAACTTCTATAAAAATACATTTTTATTTAATTTTAGTTTTTAAAATATATAAATAAATAAAATATATATAAATAAATGAGTATACATTTATTCTATAAGCATTTATAAATTATAATTCAAAACAATAAGAAATTAATAAAAAAAAAAAATGAAAATATTGACATGCAATACATTAATATACCCTTTTTATTGGCAACTTGTTGTAAATCAGACAATTCTGATAATTTCATAAGCAAATTATTTAATTCTGGGAAATCTTCATCAGTTAAAATTTGATCTAATGGACTGAACATTGATGAATACTAAAAATCATGAAAAAAAAAACACATTAATTAAAACAATACAACTTTTATAGTGAACCAAATATTATACCAACAATAAAATGTTTCATTATAATGTATTCGATAATCTTAAATAATTAAAACAAATATAGGTACTGTACAACTTTTCAAGAGATAATGTGAAAATATTATTAATAAATATCATTATAAATATTATTCTTACTTTGACGAAATAAGGTAAAAAAATGAACAGAGGGTCAATCAACGTTACAAAATCAATTCTATCAATAGGAATTACTTCATTGTCCTTGAAAATTGTCCTGTAAAACAAATAACATTTAAAGCTAAACAATTTAAAGTAACATAAAAAATATGAATGTACCGATGATCAAAAGGTAAAGAACGCATTTGTGCTAATTTTTTGTCTTTTTCCGAAAACACAAACATGGCCAACTCACTGGTTTGTGGATGGCGTAGTTTTACAAATTTTCTTTCAATATTCTGGTCGTTAGTTAAACTATCTAAAAATAAGTACACGATTACTAAAAAAATTCGTAAAGCGAACACAATTAAGCAGGGCTTACCGGGTAAAATGAGAAAACGATTTTGATCAAATGTTTGGCGAAACCCTGTTGCGTCTTTTAACTCGGATTTCTTACTTCGAGGGGCCATTATTAATTAAACCGTATGCACTTAACACGAAATTTTCCAAGAAAACAATAATTATTATCGAACAATTTTTCTATAGTCGGTGTTCAAATGATTAAAACTTCAGATTCCAAATACGAGTAAATAATCAAGTTCAAATGATTATGAACGTCATAAAAATTGATCGAAAAAACGCGGGTAAAAAAAAATCAAACACAGAACATAACCTCATTTCGATATCTGATCAAAGCATAAACCTTATTATGAAGACTCGATCATAGAATA